CCGTGCCGGGACACCGCGCTCGCCACGCTGATGTCACGCGGCGGGGCCAGCGCCGGGATTAACGTCCCCAAACGCTGCTCCAGCCCTGGGTATCCGCGCTGAGTTGGCCGCGGGAGAAGAAGATCCTTCCCCTGGTACTTTCAAACAGCTCCCTGAAGTTCCTGCCGCTCCTCTGGGACGCGGGAGCTAAACGGCTTCTCAGGAGGAAGTGCCGGAGCTGACACAAAGCTCTGCGCTTCCCTGCTGCGGCCGGTACGGGATGGCGATACCGCCAGCTGTTTACACGCCTGTGATGCACCCCCGGAGTAACACCTGTGCCGTGCTTGGCAGAGCCGTGAGGAGGAATCTCACGTGAAGAGCTCGCGTCTGTTCGTGCAGGTTGTGTCCTCGTGCGTACAGCTTGGTTTCAGCCGCAGGTTTTACACCCTTGGATGAATGTCAGTAGTTGGACGCATCTGCCTGAACGCCCTCTATAACAAAACCATGCCAGAGATTACCTTGTTCAAGCTGGATAAGTGCGCTTTCAGTTACAAACCACAGATGCAGCTTTACAGCTGCCTTTCTGCATGTGTTTGTCGTTGGCTTTGTAATCGTGCTGCAGGTTTTGAGAACAGGAACTTAAGCCCTGAGTTGCAACTCACATGCTTCTTACTTGAACCACTCTCCAGAGGCCGTGTAGTCAGCAGGTTGACCTAGCCTTTTAACGAAAGGTTGTAATGAACTGAAAAAACATCTAAGTACTTTATTTGAGATGTTTTTTACATCTCTGCTTGGTTAATCTAAACAAATACAGCGTTTACATCTTACTCTCTGTCTGCCTGTGAGCAGACTGTCCTGTGTCTCTTGGGATCTTCAGTGGGAGCACGCTTAGGAGCAGCTGAATAAAAACTTTTGGCCTAAATCTTTGCAGGTCACAGAGATTAGATTTGTAACATCCTTATTCCTCTAATGGGTGCATCTTTTGGTATGTATTTGAAATTTGTAGGAGCTGAAAAAATTAAAATCTAACCATTGCAGAAAACGGTCTTCAGCCAGGCAGTTTGCAGTGAGACTCCATTTATAAAGCCCTGCAGTACTTGGCCTGGATAATGCACTACACTGCACTTCGACAGTCCCAAATTTTATTCCTGTTCCTGCTGCTGTCCTGCTGGGATGAGTTTAGGCAAGTCACTGTCATAGTTTCACCACCTGCAAACAGCCATTCCTTCCTGGCTTCATTTGAAAAATGCTTTAAGGTCTGCTACATATACAGGACTATATAACATTCATGTGTTCTTATCCTTGGGGCAAGGAGTGCAGGGTGAAAACTGGTGGGTTGAGTCAGCCTCTTTTAACGTACCCGGGTTCCGGATCCCGCAGGCATTGCCGCATGCAGGTCGTCTCCATCGCTTTTAATGGGCCTACCTGTTTGCTCTGAAACCTCTCAAGAAATGGGGTAAAGGTAATTTATACTGTGTGTGCTGGAGACTCACTGTGATAACTTTTACTCCTTTTGTTTTCCCCACGGGCACAAGAGGCTGTTTGGCTGTTGTTGGTTTATGAGCGAGAGTCCTGAGAGCGAGACTGGCTCTTCCACACACCAGTTCAAGGTGCTGTCGTTCCTGCCTTTCCCTCTCCCCACTCACTTTCGGGATTTGTACGTTACTGAACGAACTAGAATGAGTTCAATGATGCTTACAGGCACACTTTCTCCACGAGACAACAGACATGAGAAGTTAGTGTTGTAGCAGGGGGATTGAATACCCGAGAGTTGTGTGCTGCTCAGCCGAGATGCCGTGCATTTACGGTAAAAGCACTTTAACACATTTTGGCTCTACAGGTTTTTGTCTTGGAGTTCTTAATGTCACTTTAGTGGAGAGTACTTACTGGAAATGCTTCTTTTTCAGATGCATTTTCCGTAAGCTTTTCACACTCTTAATGTGGGTTTATTAGATTTTGCAATTAATTCTCATCACTGTTGTGTTCTTCTCTTCCGTGTTTCTTTGACTTGGAGCAGGAAAGAATATTGAAAAGTGCAGTTCAATGGTGGGGGCGGGAACGGACAACAGTAAGATACAGATGGTGAGGTTTGCTTCTCCTTCCCAGTTTTCTATTCAGGAGCTCTATAAAGATGCATCACGCATCCAAAAGTTGTAGATACATACTGGGCACACAAGGTTTTGAGAGCCCTGATGCTTAAAGATGGCTAATGCAGTAGACGCTGAGCCCTGCGGGAAAGGAGATCCCTTGCCATTCCAAGAAACTCGTGCAAACCCCAAGGTGCTGTTCACGTATAACAGCTTGCAGAAATTAGAGCCTGCTTTTGTTTAAATATAGGCTCAGAGTTTATTATCTCTTCAAGCTGTAATGGTGGAATGTAAATATTTGAATTGATTTGTGAGTCATGTTGGATGTTACGTATCAGGTGGGCTAGAAGCAAAATGAATAGAAACTCATTCATATTGTGGCAGAAATTCACATGAAATTGCCTTTATTTCCTTGATTATTGCCCAAAGTCAAATAGCAAACACAAACGATGCAATATTTAAAATTGCTTTATTTCTTCAGCTGGTGTACTTTTTTGGGACCTCCTCCTTGGATTTGAATATTCTTATTTGGAACTTCTTGTTTCAAGCTTGTTTCATTATCGCTATTTCTTTAAGTGCATAATGTATGTTTGGGTGTTTTATGCAAATAATCCAACAGGACATCTGGTCTGTCATAAGGTGTTCAGTTTTTAATGAACCTGTTTTGTCTCTGTGTGCAGTGTGGTGCTGGAAGCTTCAATAACTGAAACTTTTTATTTAGAAACTAGTGCAAGAGGGCAAAAATGTCTACACCACACTGTTAGTTTTTAATGTAACTGCTTAAGTCTCATGTTTCTTTCGATGCATGATTACTGTTAGGAAATTCAACACTTCTCCGGTTAGGAGCATGGGAAGGCATTCAGTCGCTCTGAAACGGGGACCGTGTGTTCAACAGGATCTAACAGTGTAGTCAGATAAAGACGTGGGCTGATAGGGAGGGAGGTGGTTACGGTGAAATAATGGCTCCTCCTCAGGTTTGGGCTGGGGTTTTTTTGAGAAAATGAAGGAAGTGAGGAAGAACCCAGTGTCTGTGATGAGTTGATAAACCAGAAGTACGATGGAGCAAGTCTTATAGCTTTAACCTGTGACAGTTTTCCACCACAGTAAATGGTATTCCCTTGATAACAGTATCCTGGGGGAAAGAGCGCCCTGGTAACAACTGTCTTGCTAAATTTCTGGCCTGTGATCATTTAATCTGTTCTTTTTTTAAATCATTTGGCATCTCTAGATTGATAAAACTGGAAAGAAAGGCAGGTCTTGGTTTCCTTGGGCAAACGATTATTGCACTTGTTCTGTGTTTTAAGGGATAGACGTAAAAGCGTGGAGAGCACACCTCCAAACTGTACAGAGGTTCCTTCCAGATGTGAAACAGTATGGGTTCATAATATGTAGCTTTACTAGTGATTCCTTTTTTAAAATCAAACTAATGTAATCGTGACAAGCCCTGTGTTTCGAGATGGCCGGGAGAAGCACGTGCAGCTCTGGAGCAGGGCACTGGGCAGGTTTTCCTTCCCAAGCCGGTGGCATGGCGCGCTGATGCCTCTCACCGCTAACACTGCAACCTGGAACCTGCCACGGGGACTGGGGTGTTTCACCCGTTTCTGTGCTCCTGCGGATGAGTGTGTAACGACACTGACCTGAAATTTCACGCAGTGTTTGTGCCAAATGGGAACTGAATTAACCTGTTTGACATTGATACGCTGCTTTCTAATGAAGAGTAAGGGCTGCAACTCGTTTCTGAGGGTGGGCCAAAGGGCCTGTAGTAGGTGCTCTCTAGTCTGGATTACTCCGCCGTGAGTCTCTAAGCTTTCCGGTGCTGAAACACCCAATAGCTCTACTGCTGCCCGAAAAATGGGTGGGAAGGAGCTTTTTAGCTGAAGTGCTAGAAGCTTAGGTACCTACATCCAGTAGTTACTGTTTCCTTGCAGGCATCCAAACAGGACTGCTGCTCTCCTTGGCTTCAGCAACATGTCATTGCAGCCAGACCCAGGAATGAAGAAATCCTGATGCCCTGTGGTCCTGAGCTACTTCATAAGTAGTTGCTTCCCTCTCTGAGTTGCTCTTGTCAGCTTAAGTTTACATTTTCCTCCACTAATATTTGTAGAAGAGCACAGTGAAAGTTGTGAACTGAAAACTGTGGGCTCTAAACAATTGAACGGTCCATGTTTAATTACATTACCCCTGGATCTTGGAATAATATCCAAAGCCATTTGAAATAAAATCCAGACTGCCCTGTAAATAATACTTCATCTAGGCTGACCTGCAAGTCTTCTGCTGTGCCAGTATATGGCACGGCGTTTTGCAGTTGCTGCCTCGTAAGAAGAGGGTGTGACAGGTTGAGGCTGGGTGTAGTTTGAGAGATTTCCTGTGTATGGAAAATGGAAGACTCCTATCTCAACAAACTCCGAGAAGTCTGGAACTTGACTTAGTAAACTGCTGTTTCCAGGGAGAAAAAGCATGTCTTTTAAAAGTTAACCACTGGATGCATCTGGACGTTGTTGGTGAGATTGAGGCTTATGAAACTAGTCCAACTTCCTATGAATTATACATCAGGTGGGAACAATATTTACTTGGGTCTTACAGGAGATTAGTTTGACAGGCCTCATGTTCACAAGTCATTGTGCTTTGAGATTATTGGCAAATTCTGCGGAAAAGCCCGTGTTTACTGGATGTGTATGATTAGTTAATCACTGTGTATGATTAGTTACCTGTGGAATAAGATCCTTTCCTGGGTCGCAGTTAAGCCACGTAGGAAACTTGATTTGTCGTTCACTGCTGCCTTTCCCAGGTGCAAAGTCCATGCACTTTTTAAACTTCCCATATAAAATAATGCCCTGTGACCTGATGACTCCCATTGGGGTCTGAGTTTTTGTGATTATAATGATTTATGAAAATGCCTGCTCAGTGCTGACTGAACTTAGGGAAGAAAAGTCTGTTGAGGGCCTTTGACTTAAGAAGTCAGAATTGGAAATTTTTGGAGCTATAAGATTATCCTAGGAAGAACCATTGTGTTCTTATCATGGTACAGATCCCTAAGGAGGCATCTAGTGCTGGTTTCTGAGCACAAAGTGCTGGGAGAGGTGGACGTTTTCCCTGGTGTGATGTGGCTCACTTTAAGCTTTTATGGTGAATTTGTAGGTAAATTACTTGTGGCTCCATAAGTAAAATAACTTGCTAAATTTCATCAACCCCGTTTGTGGATCAGTGCAAAAACTTTGTCCAGAAGGTAGAAGAGAACTGATGTCACTGCTTCTGTAAAGCTGTGCTCTTAGATAAGACAGAAGTTGGAGATGCTGTGATAGTTTTAATACGTTGTAAAGGAAGATTACATCATGTCTGTAGTTTTTGGAAAGCAACAGGTTCATTGACTTCGTTCACAGTTTTTCGGCATGCACAGCATAGCTGTTTTGCCCCAATAGTGGGAAGCGAGTGGTTTGGTCACGGCTACTTTATAATGCGGGCTTTTGGGAAGGAAGATTGGTGGAACTGGAGCAGGGGAGGAACAAGTCTGCACAAGACAGCTGTGGCTCCATTTTTTAAACCAATTTTAAAGAAAATATTGCTAAACTACAAACCACCTAAACGCTGAAGCCTTGTTCATCGGTGCCATGCTGGCTCTGGAAGCCTTAATTCCTCCTGATTATTGATGCCTCTGTGTTAGGGATTGCTGTTCCTTCTGACTTTCTGGGGGACTGTTTCCTGTTGGCAAAATGAGCCAGCTTAGTACAGTTGAAAGCAGTTTGATAACTGGCTTCTGGGAGGGAGCACTCTCCTCTTCACGTAAGCAAGCTTGAGAGTGTAGTCATTCTTCTTGACCACGACTGTGGACACATTGAAAAGGTGTCTGTCGTCTTTAAGGTCTACAGAATGATCTGTTGCTGTGAGTGTCAGTGGGTTAAACTATTCCAAATGATGCACCAGTTTAATTTAAGAGAACTTCGCCATCTTGGGAAGGACGAAATAAATGTTTGCTGCTTGCCTGTGCTGCTCAAAATACGCAACTTGGCCCTGTATGTTGCATTCAAGTTAACGGAATAAAAAATAGGATCACGCACAACAATGTGAAGAAAAGCCACAGCTAAGTCTCAGTTTATGTGTTTTATGCGGTCTAAAGGACTTGGAAGGAATGTCAGTTGAGTGCCATTTCACTGTACTTAAGGTCTTTCCTTGGCTGCCTGTAAAAATTTTAAGGGGAACCACATGTCAGAATTGCAATATAAATCCAAATAAAATAAACGTTAAAACAAGTCAACAAAAAGGAAATAAAAGTTGTCATGAAGCAAAGTGTGTATCCCTCAAAAAGTAAGAAACACTGGGTATTTGGATGAGAGTTCAGTTGGCAGTTAAGTGTCAAGGAATTCAGATGTTACGGTTGCAACATAAAACCTATCACTGGATAAATTCTCCACGTCTTATTGTTTATGTCTTAACGTATCATAGAATCAGAGAATGGTTTGGGTTGGAAGGGACCTTAGGTATCACCTAGTTCCAGTTCCCTTACCGCAGGCAGGGACACTTGCCACAAGGCCAGGTTGCTCCTGTCGTGAAGATACAGTGCTAGAATTGACGTACGTGGGAAATCAGTTGAGCAGTCTTGGTGCAGTGGGTACTTCTTTTGGCTGATATGGTAAATCGTCTTGTTTTATACGGGCGTGTGTGTGATCTTCCTGGCAGCAGCATTCCAGTTTGAAAGGGTTTGGGCTGCTGCCAAAAACTACTTGAATGTGGAAATCACATGTGTTTTCCTTCAAGTAATCCTTAGCGGTAGCTCTTTGAGCATCATTGAAAGGCAGTGGTTTTACTTTTCCCCTCCTCCTACTGCAAAGGTTAAAAGAACCGTGGGCATGTAGGAGAGTGTATGTGATCCGGGGGTTGGAGCAGAATAGGTGGAGAGTGAGGGTTGTCTGGTTTCCAAAGCTGTTCCTCAGCTACGTTAGTTATTTCTTACGGGGTTTAGATATTGCCAAAACTTGGTTTTCTTCTGAAAGATGTAACATACGGAGAACTGAAAGTTTTAAGATTAATATTAGAGTTGTTTAGTCTTCCTTTGTCTGTACGGAAGATGTAAAAGTAAAAGCTAGGCTTATGGTAGAAGTACTTCTTAACCACAGAATTTTAAATTTGAGGCAGGTAATGGAGTGACCAAGAGGTGCAGTCTGAGATTAAGGAGTATTTAAAAAAAAAATAAAATAAACCCCAACAAAGAAAACAACATCAGAAGCCAAACGTAAACTTGCTTCAGGTCATCAGCTAATGAACTGTAGAAACCTGGAAGAAATTCCTTACTCAAACACACTTTTGCCTCGTCGGTTCTTGCTTTGTGGTATTATTTTTCTTTGAGGCATTTGGCATATCCTGTTGCATTAAGTGTCCTTGGATATCGCTGGTTTGTTATGGCATGTTAACTTCCACGTAGACTTTCAGTAGGTTGTCGTTTCTGTCATCAAGTTGCTCTCCACTCTTGTAGCCAGCTGTAATTCTTACAACTACAGCTTTTCGAACAGTTATGTGCCAACCAGAAGGCTTATGGTTCTTTTGGCATTACTGTGTTCCTCTGACTGTAAAACAAATCAGTATGTTGCTGCTTGTTCTCTAATTCCAGGAAAGCCAATATTTTCAGTGGACATTCACCCAGATGGGACCAAGTTTGCAACAGGAGGACAAGGTACGTCTGCATACTCATAGAAGGCAGAATTTTGGGCTATAATAATCTTTTGCCTTCTCAACGCTTTAATTGGTTTGACCCTTTTAAAAACACATCCCTTTACGTAAGTATCTGTTTCTCAGAGATACAAGTCATTGAAATGTATTGAAAATTGCTTTTGTTACTGCAGAAGACCGAGTTACATTTTCTGATGTACTCATTCTCCTGGACGTCATTGAGATAGTAGCTGCAATAATTGAGTTGTGGGTATACTGGCCAAATTTCTTGCTTATTTTAAGAAGAACTGAATGTGAAATTGGGCTTTTTGACCCACTAAATAGTAGAGATATTGGTACAAAAAAAAAAAACAATTATGTAAATGGACTAGCTCAAGAAATATGTGCAAACTGTTATTTGGATTACAATAGTGAATAATTTTGTGAGCTACAGTAATTGCAATTTGGGTTTTGAATGTATTTTTTTCTTTTAAAATACAATTTTAATATAAATAATTTATCCTTGTAGGTGGTATCACTATGTACAGTATGATTTTTGGACAAGGATGTATAATTTTGTTTAATTGCTGCAAGAAAAATAGAATACTTCTGAGTTGGTGTAATTATATCAGAATGGCATCTGTATTCAGATGTTTCCAAAGTTCCCACTGCAGTAATGCCTACGTTGTAGCATCTGTTCTGGAGCTGAAATTAAGTTGAAAGCATTTTTGCATGTATTTAGAAGGTGGGGCTTTTTGTTCTCTTCCAGGTCAGGATTCTGGGAAAGTTGTGATCTGGAATATGGCTCCTGTCTTGAAAGAGGAAGATGAAAAGAATGAAAATATTCCCAAAATGCTTTGTCAGATGGACAATCACTTAGGTAACAAAGACCTTTTCCCCCTCCGCCCCCCCCCCCGACTGATTTGGCAAAGCTTAAGCATACATGTTTGTAATTACAAAAATCATGCCCTGTCCAGTGGTGAGTCAATCAAGTACAGCAGAGTGGTCTCATACTTTGGCTATATGTTTTTTCAGATATTCACCAGAAAATGTTAAAATGTGGGAAAATGTTCAGAGAAACATAGATACTTCTGGAAATCTCCTTCTGAACTTTTTCAGCTGTGTCCACCATGTAATCGATGGTGCACATTCTGAGAAAATGAGGAGCTCTGAAGGAGAGGGCAGGAGAAGAAATAAGTGCAAAGCAAACATTGTATGAGGTGTATTGGTCGCAGTTCTGAATTATTCTGGATTTATTGCACATTACATTAGAACGTATAGTTACCTGAACAAGCTGTCCCTTTTCTTCAGGATACATCTTTCCTTCTTTGCCCTCTTAACCCCACCACAAGCAGTTTCCGTTGTCAGATGAATATTGATCTTTCTTCTCTTGATCTACTTCTGGTGAAGCTATTTTATGTAAGGAATAGGGATTTTTCTCAAAGTTCATTCCTCAACTGCTACTGCAAGATAAGTACCAATTAATTTATCTAAAGCAGACAGACTAACTGCTTTGAGTGGAAAAAGCACACAAATCCTAAACATCTCCTGTCAAGTTTTGCTTATCATAAACTGTCCTCAGTCCAGAACCACTTACTCTCATATTTCAACTTACAAACTTTCTCTTCTACATTTCAGCTTGTGTGAACTGTGTGCGATGGTCAAACAATGGAGTTTACTTGGCCTCAGGGGGAGATGACAAGTTGATTATGGTGTGGAAACGAGCTGCGTAAGCATATTCCTTCCTTCCCGATGTGATATTTGAAGAAGGTTACTCTGTCATGTCTCTTAGTGTTTCTTCCCTGTGCTGGCCTTTTGTAAGCTCGCTGCTTTGTGGTGTGCAACGAGCTGAAACCTGTGGCACCACCCCACAGGTATTGGCGATATGGCCTCTTCTCTCTCTTGGGCTGGAGCGTGTGTCTACGTGGGCGGTCTTCCTCCTTTTGGGGGGCTGAGGCATTTGCTTCTGTCCTTGAGGAGAGCTTCCTGATGACAGTTGAAGAGTTATCTTAAATGTGATCACTTTTTGCTATCTGTAGAAATTGTACATTTTATTGAAACTCGTTTTTAGTGACTGGAATTACTTTCTTTAAAAAATATCTTTTTTTCTTCAGTTTTCATTGCAGAAATAACTGACTATAAAATAGAAGTGTGCTGTGCAGCTGATATTCTTTAGAAGGAAAGTTTGAAGAACTTGAGGTTGTTCTGTTGATAACTGTTTCTATTTTAATTAGGTACATTGGACCTAGCACTGTGTTTGGTTCTAGTAGCAAACTTACTAATGTTGAGCAGTGGAGGTGTGTATCAATTCTCAGGAGCCATTCAGGAGGTGAGTTAAAATGCGTTGAATGAACATAATTTGCACGTATTTGGAAAAAAAAATTGGTTTTCAGTGTTACATTTTCTTGCTCCAAACGTATATATTTGGTGGCAAGTCACTAATTACTTTTAAGAGCAACTATGAAAATCTAAAAAAGTGACATTTTTATACAACTGTTGATTTTCATACAAGTAACTTGGGGCAATGTAGTAGAAAAATTCTGGCAAATAGGTAGTAGAAAAATTAGCAACTAAGAAACATATTTTGCTATTTTCTAGCTTATGAATGAATCTGAATATAGGAAGCTAAATTGTATTCTTATTTAAATAAATGTTCACACTTGCAGTGAATAATCTCCTGGTTGGCAAAAGATAAAATTTTTGTAAACCAAAGAATAGTAATGTTTATTTAGAAAAAATAACTTAAGAGCAATGCAAAATATAAATATATCAGATAATTTCAAACGCATTTTGCACCTGCTGACATGAGCTATGATTAAAATCAAGATTGAAATCACTTTGATCACTTCACATGTGTTGGAATAAAGCGAGTGCATTGCAGTAGCTGCGGTTGCTTTTTTATTCAAAACAAGATGAAGTATTTCATGTATAGGCATTAATACTTCCTGTAATCACTAACCATTGCATTCTCTGCCTTGGATAACTTTTTTTTTGTTCCCTATTGAACACTGTAAGTTGGAGAGCTTCACTCCCAGAGAGTGTTGCTGTTTTATTGTCTCGCTAGAGTGGAAGGTAATCATTTCTCAGTGATAGGAAAAAATGCTGTCGCAGAAGTTCTTTTTAAAAAAGATTTTTGGATTCTCTGATTACCATCAACGTCTTGTATGGCAACTCTTCTTTTAACAGATGTCATGGATGTAGCGTGGTCTCCTCATGATGCCTGGCTGGCATCTTGTAGTGTGGATAACACTGTTGTCATCTGGAATGCTGTCAAATTTCCAGGTGAGGATTCTTGCATTTCAGATGTGCAAGTATGTAAAGCTTTGTGACAAGCTCTTCCCTCCATAGTGTACTTTACTGATTGAAAATCCTTTTGTGGGAATGGGTTTTCTGTCTTTTGAGATGACACCCTTGTGATCTGGTGGGTCTGTCCTCCTTCCAAGTGTGGATGGCATTGAGTGGTGGATTCCACTCTGCTGTGGACAACAGCTGTGTTCAGGTTGTGCTGCTGATTTTACAGGAAGGTCATTATTACATGTATGTTTCATCTTCTCTGCAAAATCCCAAATAAACAGAACTTCAGCTTGATAATACATCTAGGAACACATATATATTTTCACTGTGGCCTTTGTACCTGCAGGACTTTCCACTCGTTTGCCTTCAGGGAGGCATTGTCTCATTTACCTCATTTTAAATGTTGCTGCTTAATAAGCAGTGTGACTTTGCATGATGGAGGGGAGGAAGGAAGGACATGGGGAGTCTCACAGTAGCGGAAGCTCTCAAGTAATTTGGTGGCCATTTTCCTTCTTCCATTGCTGCAAGTGCTGGCAATTCAGAGTCCTGAGGGGCCTCTCTTTCCCCAGGCACAGCCAGCGCACTGGAGACCTTTAGCTGGCCTGCGAGGGTCCGTGGCAGTGAGAGAGCACGTGCTTTTGTTTGGCTGCTTCTCACCATGTAACTTTCTGCAGGCTAAAACTCCCGTTGCGTGGTGCCCGGTCACTAAATTTATTTCAGGGTTGTTTCCAGTCCTGATATCAGAGTTTTTAGGCTTCCAAGCTAGCTGTGTAGCCTGCGCAGTACTCTCAGCCTCTCCTCTCACAGTCTGATAAGCCAGAGACTGAAAGTAGGTTACCAGGTCTGCCAGGCTTGTGTGTGTGTTCAGTCCCAGCTTTGGTTTAGTTCACATTTGGTGCACAAAGATGAATTTGTTGTGATTATCTTTGGGTGCGGAGGAAAGGGTGAATGTTTGACTAAAGTTCCAGTTAAACTGCTGCTTTCTGTAGCTTGAAGGTGCTATTCTGAACTGCCCGGACTCTGCTGGTCTTCCTGCTCTGATCTGTTTCTTATGAATGGTTTTGCACCCCTTATTCTGGCCAGAGTTCTCTTTACCACTTTTTTGAATACAATTCTTAGCTGAAGTACAGGTTCCAGTTTGGTTGATACGTTGTTGTTTGTACATTAAAGGAAGTTATATTTAATATGCTGTTTCAAAAAGGTCTTGTAATCTCGTCAACAGTCTGTCCTAAAGGAAGACATCAATAACTACTCTCTATTCTCAATTTTGGGTGCACAGAAATTCTTGCCACTTTGAAGGGGCATTCTGGCTTGGTGAAAGGGCTGACCTGGGATCCTGTTGGAAAATACATTGCCTCTCAGGCTGATGATCGAAGTTTGAAGGTGTGGCGGACCATGGACTGGCAGTTGGAAACCAGCATCACGAAACCCTTTGATGAGGTACTTCAGAATGTGTGACTATTCAAAGTGAACTCCTGAGAATGAATGAAAATGATAAGAACAACTCTGATTCAGTACAGACCTTAGTTAACAGTGCTCCATCAAATGAAACTATTAGATGGCAGGTTCGAAAGTTGGGGGAAAAAATAGCCACATTCTCACACAACGTGATTAAACTGAGACTCTAGTTGCCATTGGATTTTGTGGATGCCAAAGGTTTACATGGGTTATGTAAACAATTAAGTAAATTCCTGGAAATGAAAAGATTATTCCAAGGAAGTATTGGCATACTAATTACATTGTTCCTACATTCTTCCCTATGGATCTTCTATTGGCCACTATCAGAAATAAGTACTTAGGAGGGATATTTGATCTGGCGTCATAGGGCTGTTATGTGATGACTTTGATCAAGAGATCAAATTTCTGGGGACAGAAGCTGGTGCTTAGTGAGTGGAGTGTTTTGTATTCATCTTACGGTATTGTGATTAGTGCAGTTGTGCTTTGTAATAAGCTGCAAATACTGAAATTCATGTGTGAGCTGGTGTTACAGTCTCAAGTCTCATTAGCAGTTAGTATGCTGCAGCCCTCACACTAACTAGGACTGTGATGAATACTGAGTGTGTAGTATCCAGACAGGCATTTTTGTTTATTTTTAAAAAGTTTTCTTGGTTCCTTTTTCCTCTTTTGGTATTGCTTCGTAAGTTACAGTAGATACCTGTATAAGCATGGCTGAAGTGCTGAGAACCCTGTGTAATGTCATTCTTTTATATTCACACAAAATTTACTTTGTAACCATATTTTCTAAATCCAAAATGTAAGTAGTTTGTATTAATAATCCTTTGTTTGCCAAACGCTTTTAAAGCTCTAGTACGGTGTTTTGGTTTTTTTTTTGTCAGTGTGGAGGGACAACTCATGTGTTGCGTCTTAGCTGGTCACCTGATGGTCACTATCTTGTTTCTGCTCATGCCATGAATAATTCTGGACCTACTGCTCAGATCATTGAGAGAGATGGGTGGAAAACCAACATGGATTTTGTAGGGCATCGGAAGGCTGTTACAGTAGTGGTGAGTGATAGTAATTTATCCCTGAAGTAAAACTTCCAATATGTGGGTTTGGATATTTTTATGCATAAATGGGACAAGAGGTGAAAATAGTGTCAAGATTAGTAAAGCAAACGCATGGTGGTGATTAAAGCATTTCAACTTTACATGTTGGAAGCAATCAGTTTGCTCTTGTGAGAAGAGAACTGGGCATAGATGAACAGGATAAGAAGGGGGAGTACAGGAGCATGTTAAGAATGCCAAACACCAGCTTTGTTCAGTGACTTAAGTGACTTAGGTTTCTGGTGGGTTCCCGATAGCTAGTAAATGTAACATGATTTGTCATTCCTGTTAAGGCATTCCAAAAGCCTCTTAAAAAAGCATGTATGGCTTTTGTCAGTGCTGTTACAGAGTCTGGTTAGGGACTTTGTTTCTATGAAATGTTTCATTTTCACTCTTAAGTGGAAAACTTTTAAAGCAGATCTCCTACTACAATGTAATTACAGTAATAAAATTTGGGGCATTTAATTTGTTCAGAAATTCAATCCAAAAATCTTCAAGAAGAAGCAAAAGAACGGGAGCTCCACCAAGTCGAGTTGTCCCTACTGCTGTTGTGCTGTTGGTAGTAAGGATCGGTCTCTGTCTGTCTGGGTAAGTGGTGATTTTTGCTGCCTTTGAACTAATGTGGTCATTTGGATAACTTGGGGGTTTAGCACAAAGGTCACATGTACAACATTAGGTCTTGTATTTAGATTCATGGGTCTGCTTTTTTTTCCCTCTCTGTTGTACAGGATTAGCTGGGGGGAAGGAAGTGGATTGGCATTAGTTCATTTCTCTAAAGCCAAGAGCAGCTAGAAGCCAGTGGCAAGAGTATGTTGCCCTGGTAAGCAGTAGGAACTGTTAAGGGAAATAATGTGTTACCACAGTTAATAAATATAATTCAGCCCTATTTTATTCCTATGTCTTTTACTTGGTCTCCATGGGAGTGTCTTAAGACAAAGATTTTACTGTTTCTCTATGTTTAAACCACCATTAATCACTCTTAGCGTCTAGCTTTGTTAGTCTTGCTTTTATGGCAATGAGAAGAATATAGCAGGCACAGCATAGCTATTTCTGAGCATATATATCGCTCATCTTTCTGCTTTGTTCTGGCTTCTGTGTTTGCTATGGAAAGGTATGTGAAAGCAAACAAGCTTTTTAAGTATACTTCCAGGTTTTCAATATCTGGTTTGGGTTTTACTTTAAAATGTACACCAACATAGTTATTCTGGCTAAGAGAAGAGTAGGTTTTCTCATTTATAAATGCAAGACAGGTTGTTTGGCAACTGCAAAGGACAGGGAATAAATTTAACTGATTTGTAAAGCTTTGTGATGAGAACATATGCTAGAACACACCAATTGCTAAGTGCAATCTACTATTTATAGATTCCAGTGTGATATTTATCCATCAATCGCTAAATGCATAACACTAAATCTGTTGCTGGCAATGGTACCAGTGCATACCCATATCAAAGTATCACTCAGTATATTTTACTTTCTATTTATACTATGATTTCATTTAGGGTGCGTGTTGAGGTTACACTAGGTATTACAGAGATGCAAAGTTGTAGGCAGTCTTTGCCCTGAAGAGCGTAATAGATATGTGTACATCACAGACCTATGGAAACAAAAGAAATAACTGCTGGAGTTGACTACTACACTACCTCTGAACCTATGAAATCCTAGACCACGCTGACTTTTGCTTCGTTTCAGTTGTACTATATACTACAGATATCAAGTCCATTGGTTTAACATTAAAGAACTTAGAATGTCTGATTTGTAACAGGTTACCGGGAATTTTCATATTCAGTTCTTTATTTCTGAGCTAATTTATAAGTGTAGAAGAATCCTCTTTAATTGTGAGTCGAATTCCCTTTGCTCTTGGTAGGCTTCACTTACTTAGTCAAGTAGTTTGAGTGAGGACATGGAAACCTAATCTGTTTTCTGTCTTCATCTTGTGCTGGCAGTTTGCAACGTCCTTATCTCAGTAAAGCTTAGAATAGAAGCTGTCTTTAGCATCTCCGGAATCACTTTTTGAGTGGTAGTGTGTTCTGTGACTGCGACATGAAGTCAAAGTTGGTTGAGAAATTCAGTCTGTGGTTCAGAACAGAGGGGAGGGTTGAATGTCGGCTGTTCTTCTCCAAAGCTGTTCTGTGCCAGCAGCGGAGTGGGTAACTAGGTGCTACAGACGCACCACCAGACAGCTGTCTGCTGGCCAGATCTTGTTTGGTGAACGTTGCTAGGCTCTGGGGGAGTGTTAATGTGGTTATATCTGTGGTAGCATAGAACTTCTGAATTTCTGAGTGTGTTTTCTTCTGTTCTAAGCTGACATGTCTGAAACGACCTTTAGTTGTCATACATGAGCTGTTTGACAAGTCTATCATGGACATCTCCTGGTAAGTTCTTTTCTGCTGTTCGTTACAAAAGCCAAAGTGCTGCTAGAAACTTTAGGTATATACCTTAAGCAGAAATTCCATAAAACAGTACAGATTGTAGCTGTTGGAACACAAGTAGCCAGTTCCGGAATGTTTTGGTTCTGCTGCAACTTCGTTGGTAGTAACATTAGCAATTAGCATGTGGTCGCTTGAGGTTGTGTAACAATAAAAACTAATGTATTTAGAACATGATGCAGTAAAATACCTGTGAAATGAGTTCCTACTTATTATGATTCTCTGAAATATTTTTTTATAGAACACGTATTTTATAATATGATGTGGTGGACTTGGTGAGTTTTATGTGCATTACATCCACGAGAAGTTATTGCACTGTACAGTTATGACAAATTCAGATGAACCTTCTTGGCCAATCTCTCCTCATGCCTAAGGACACAATATACCAAAACATAAAGTCTGGTTGTTTTTAATGTTTTATACATACACTCACTCATTCATACACGCACACATGAACTACTCGCTCATTTGAATTGCCTGAATAATTTTCATGTATAAAAAAAAGTAAATGCAATAGATTCTGTTTTTAGTAAAAATGTGGTTATACCATGTTGTTGCAGCACTATGTGAAGGGTGTAAATTGCTCTGTGTTGAAGAGTCACAGAAGTTGATGTAGCAAGTCTCAGAGAAGGGGTAATGGACCTACTACATCCAACCATACCCCCTTCATCAACCACAGGACGTAGCAGGACAGCCAAGTGCTGAACTGTCTAAAGATGGCAGGACAGGTCTAGTCATTTGTGTGGGGTTGGACAACCCAATTTGCCAGCAGTCTACTGTCCCAAATCTTGATTTCCTCCTTCTGCAGTTAGTGGTACTCTCTCCTCCCCTGCTTTCTTCCTAAGGCCTGGTCACAAAAACGCAGAAGTTAATAATTCTTTATTCATTGCAAGACGTGAATAATAAGGGAGAAATAGCCATGAGACCACTCAGTAAATGGTATTAAAAAAATACTCAGCACTTTTGGATTAGGTCACTTATAGAATGAAGGGTTCTGTACAGGAAAAGACTGGGTTTTTTTTCATGATAGGCACACAGCTGATTACATAGGTTGTCTTAATTCTAGCACTTACTAACCTTTAAAGTTCTACCTTAGTAACTGTAACAGTCTTGGTGGTTTTATGCTGTAAATTTTAAAGCTTACAATTGTCTAACTTCCTGGTTTGTGTGCGCCATGGATTTTGCCATGAAGCTCAGTGAAGCATGAGAAAAAGTTTTCCGAACGAAAACATTTTTCTTTCATTAATAGATTAAGGCTAAAAAGCCAATAAGTGGAGTACTTCATGAGAAGTGCTGCTGTTGTTGTAGTACAATAGCTCTGAATGGTTTTGTTTTCCTGTAGTGTTTTTTATTTCTCTGTCTGCAATTTGCACATTTTTTCATGGCATAAAGTCATTGAGAATAATAGCTGGTTAACATTTTGCAATTTCTGAGGAAATGGTTTTGTGGGATATTTGAGAGACAAAGGATCATCAAGAAGCTTATTTTTATATCCTGTTCATAAATTTAAATGTATGGCTAAAACATCAGTAATACAGAATGTTCCCAGAAACATGCTCCGTTCTGAAAATAGACCAAGTAAATTAGAGAAATTTGATTATATTTTTGTAACTGTCTCATTTCTGTTTTAGAGTTTTAGACTTGGATCCATCATCATAATATATGAACATGGTTATGTTTTCATGGAACAGTTGCTTGGATCCAGAGGTCAATAGGAGCTCAGCAGTTTTGTCTGCTAAGCAAGCAGAAAACTCTCCAGAAGATTTTATCATTTTCTAACTTGCAATAGTATCAGTTAATCTAGTTACACAGTGCTGAGGCTGTCAGGCACCAGCCACCATGAAAAAAGACGTTTACAAACACCTATAGCCATGGTGCATGTAATATATTTTTAAGCTTTGCTGGACTTATTTGGACAGGACTTCAGAGTTCTGCCTGCTTCCCTTTCCTCTGCTGTTCTCTGTAACAAGTCATCTGTAAACCACTATGTCACTGTCTTTCTGAGCTCAATAATTGGAAGTTACTGGCTTAGCAGTCAAAACTCATCAAATACTATTTTTTACAAATGTGCAATAACAGGTTATATAGGGAAGGTTATCATTCCATTAAGAACAGAATATATAGGTTCTCCTCTCTCTCTTCTACCAAGAAAACCTTTTGAGACCTCCAGAAAAGGGTTATAATATATCCACACATACAAGAACACATGCAGTTTGCTTAAAAACCCAAATAATGAACAATAACAAAATCAAACGTAAGGTCTTGCCTAGCACAGGGATTTTTGGACTGCTCAGATGCACATCTGGCTCTCTTTTTATTGCTGTCATGTCAGATAATGATGATAGAGAAGAGGCATTTACCCAGCATATAGAACTTCTCTGAAGAGTGTCATCCCTTCTGCCTGTCTTGTTTATTTGGACTGTAAGCTCTCTATAGGAATGGACTATCTGTTACTTGTTTCCCGTGCACGATGAAGCTTCATCTTCCATGGGCCCCAAACAGCAGTTTATTGGGCCTTAAGCCATCAATACACTTCTTTTGTCTGCTGAAGACCCCTTTCTTCACCCAGTTCTATTAGCAAAAATTTTGTACCTCTTTTGAAACAAATACATTTATAATTTTCTCTCATTCTTCATTGTGATCACTATTCCGTTTTAGCCCTACAGAAAGGTTTTCATGGTGCTGATCTTGCCATGGGAGGTGCATTGTTGTAATGCCACCTTCCTGCGTGCAGATTCCAGAGGAATATTGGCAGACAGACTACTGCTCTCCAACACCCTGTCTCCTTGCTGTCCCACTTCCTTGGTTTCATCTGTGATAATATATGTCCCGCTAAGATTTTTGAGCAGTTTATTGTATTGCCCCTTCATGTCAATGAAGGAGATTGAAAACAAAGATTGGACCTTTATTTCCTTCAGGACCCTTAATGGACTTGGTATCCTGGTGTGTTCCATGGATGGATCAGTGGCATTTTTGGACTTTTCCCAGGATGAACTTGGAGATCCCCTCAGTGAGGAAGAGAAGGTACAGTAAGCACTTGAAGAATCTGTGATCATATCTAAGGGATATATTGATTCAATTAAAGTATTGGACTATTTATAGAAGTATGTAGTGACTGATTTCCATATTACAGAAAAATGTTCTTGTCTACTTTACAAGTCATTAAAAAAGAGTAGTCGAGAAAGGAATTTGTGATATTATTTCCTATTCTGGAAAGACAGTCTATTTGGAAAACATCTACTTGCTTACACATTATTATACATTTGAAGAAATTATTTGGCTAAGGAAGCAAGGAGTGGGTGCTTCAAAACACTTTAAAATTACTCTTTGACTTGCATATATGCAAGTCTTTTTAAAACTGATGGCTGTTGGCTGTTTTTTCCTCTCATTGCTATTAGCAACTAAAGCTTTGAATTCCAGTTATTCTATGTATTGATTTGGTGTTAGCTGAAAATATAAAGGAAAGAAAAATATCTGTAGTGTATAAATGATGGAGGCCATTTGCATTTTATGGATACCGTGAGATTTGTGTGATTCCATTGCACCATAATTAGCGATGTCATGCTAGCAGTTGCAGTCTTTTTGTGTGATACATTTTTAACGCCCGCAGAGCAACATTCATCAGTCCACCTATGGTAAAAGCCTGGCTATAATGACTGAAGCTCAGTTGTCTACCACCATTATTGAGAATCCAGAGATGCTCAAGTATCAACAGAGACAGCAGCAGCAGCAGGTGGAGCAGAAGAATGCGTCAATTAGGGAAGCATCTGGGACTGCGTCAGCAGCGCCCAAAGTGGCAAGCATGGTTAATGGGGAGAGTTTGGAGGACATTAGAAAGGTAGGTGTTCTTGGATAGTCGCTTTACAGTGTCAAGTAGGCTGATAAATAATCAAAGTGCTTATGATAAAACCAATTTCTGCTTCCTTATTCGTGTTGAATGGCACCTTTCAACCCATGAATGGTTCAGTTGGCATTACTGGGACTTGCTGAAAAGTTAAAATAAATAAGCAGAAATAAGACCATTTGGAAAAAGGCTTGTGGATATTTGTGACGTGTGCTAGATTCTTCATGTGTAGTAAGGAAACCAAAGGTTTTCTTTCATAACAGTCAAACCGTAGAACTGTGCATTGGTTTCTCAGTGAAGGAGGTGAAAGCATTATTTAATTCTCTCCTAAACATAGAACACAACTTTTAATCAAGGGTTCAATGCGCACGGATGAGAATGTTTCAGGCTTGACTGTCTGATGTGGGGAGAATCAGAATTCGATTGTATTTCGTACTACGTGAGCATCGACTTAAAAAACCCCTACTATTGGTCAAACAAAAGTTGTGGTATTAAAGTACACTTAGTAGTAAAAATTCAGATTGATTCTATTTATGTAATAATAGCATGGTTCAAAGACAATATGGGAAAAAATCTTTGTTAACAAAATTTTAATTAAGAAACATCTTTCATCCAATACACTTATTCTTGTCAGTTGGAAAAATAAAAAGATAAAGAAAAAAATAATTTCCTGTTTATCAGAAATGATGGTGAAATATATTTCCCACCAGAATCTCTTAAAAAAACAAGTTGAAACACGAACAGCAGATGGTCGGAGAAGGATCACACCTCTCTGCATAGCTCAGCTGGACACTGGGTACGTTTGGATGTCATCTTGAAAATCCTTCTTTACCTTTTTATCTCCCCTCTCCACCACCATCTCCCCCCACAGCCAGTGCAAACTCAGAATTCAGGCTTATTTTGATCTTATGGCGCCTTAAAAGAACTCACTGGAAATAGGTTGTGTATACTTACAGGATATAGTTTCAACCTGTGTTCTCTTAGCTATAAGATCTCACTTTTAATAGATAAGGCTGATGCTCATTATCTACTGTTAGAGATGAGTGAGTGCTGTAATCTATTGCAGGTTCATATCTACGTTAATCCTGGCTTTAGCATCCTTCGTGTATGAGAAATGACTCTGGAAAGTTAGGTGGTGGTGGTTTATTTAGGTTGCATGTGAGTATCCTTATGTGGGATAAGGAAGGGAAAAGGGAAGAATGGAAGAAATAGTTAAAATGATTCTTTTTCAGATATTATTTTAAAATATTATTTTTAAAGTATTTTCAATAAATGTATTTGTTGTTTGTCTTTTTGCCTAGGGATTTCTCTACAGCATTTTTCAATAGCATCCCAATATCTGGATCTCTGTCTGGCTCAATGATGTCTTCTCAAAGTAACCAGCAGCTCATGTCATTAGATTCTAATGCTGCAAATTCCCTTAATACTTCAAAGCCTTCTGTAGAGCCAACAGCAGCCAGTATAAAACCAACAGATGATGCAGCCAATAAAGATGGGTCAGTATTTGCAGTTTTGTTTTTCGCTTATATGACTCTTTAGTTTTTAATTCTTGTTTGCTGTTCTGTAATGAAGCAGTTATTAAAGTGGTTTCCTTGCCACAAAATTCCACGAATCTAACATTCATGGGAACATTAAGGTTGTATTAGTGTTTGGTTAATTTTAAGTAGTGATAAAGTAGCAATTAATAAATCTGTGCATAGTTCTGAAAATGAACTTCAGTGGAACGAGGTACACAGTTGATTGCTAATGCTCTAACAAATTGACCTGCTTATAGATTACTGTGTTGCTATTAGTAAATAGTAGGTTTTCCAGCAGTGGAAGTAATGAAGCCTGTTTTCCATCAAATTCTGCCCTGCGCCTGTAGATCTCCTCTCTTCAAACATGGTAATACTTCTTCCCTGTATAACCACCCCACCAGACGAGGGTGAGCACAGCGATGTTGACTTGTCAATGCACATACGCTGATTGGCCAGTGTGTCTTTCAAATTAATTATGGAACACTAAATTGTACTTGCTTTTCCCTCAGTGGTAACACTGACTTGGTTTCTTCACTTCAATTTTTTTTTTTTACCGTTTGTAAGAGCACAAAGTCATTTGGACCTCTACCACTCCACCAAGTTTATTTGAAATTGGCCACAGATTAAAAAATGAGGGGGTAGACCACAAGAAGTGATGGACAGATGAAACTATTAAGTTTCCTTTTTTTTTTTTTTGGAAATTGGACTTCTAACTGCGTTTTAATACAGACGCCAGTTATCTTAGAGCCATTCTTTCTTTCAATTCATCCTCTGAATGAATCGAAAAATCTTCTAAAGTAAACAGCTATTCAAATAACAGATCCCTGGAATGCTTTAGTGTGGGGAAAACACATTCCTTTCCCTTTAGAGTTATGCTTGGAAAGGCGTAATAATTAGTTTGAATTCTTCAGCAACAGAATCAAAACCTTGCTTGAATTGTTTCAGCCCAAATTGTGTGATTGATAAACAGTGGAATATACTTTTGTAATGGAAAGTATTTGGTGACCTGAGCAAAGGGTATAACTGGGAAAACCCAGTCATCCTTTATAATAGTGGGTTCCTCTGGGTACATAAGTACCAGCAGAAAGTATCATTTAATTTCATTCCTGAATTAAAAATACATGATGAATAAATTAGGGTCCATTATTCTGGATGTATCTATGTGGACACATGGAGCTCTTAGCTGTGAGATGTATCATAAACAGCTTTGGAGAGTAGGCAAAGCTTGCAAGATACTAATGCATGGAAGGGGAAAAAGCCTATCATAATTCATGTATGTGCTTGAGTGAAAGGTTTTCAATATGCTTTCTAGCCAATATAAGGAATGTTAGTTGTGATGAGCAATGCAGGTTACCAATACTAAATTTCTTTCAATTCTTGTTTTCCTGTGCCTTTTACTGACAGTGTAAATGCTACCTCTGCCTCAACTGCTCCTTCTGCATCGTCTTCCTCTGTGTTGACAACTCCATCCAAGATTGAACCAATGAAAGCATTTGATTCCAGATTTACAGAACGATCCAAAGCCACCTCAGGGACTGCTGTTGTAACAAATACAAATCAGACTGTTGTGGACAGGTAAGGTGTATAGCCGGGGGTAGGGGTGGAAGGGATAGTAATGTAGAGAGTTAAAGAACTGATTCTCTGTGATGTGGATGTCATGGTGCGTGCTGGCACTCTAGAAATTGTCTTGGGTCTTCCCCCTGACTGGAAGGAAGGAGATGACTGTGAATACATAAAATCTTTGCTAGCAGTATTCCCTGGTACATTTTTCTGTGGCATTTAGGATCAAGCAGACTCCTCTAAATAATCTGAGTTAAAACTATTGTTACAAGAGGCTGTGTGTGCACCTGCCTCCGTGCGTGGCTGCATGCATCTGTGCTCCTTAGGAGACAGAAATAGCCAGCCTGCATCTCTGTACAAGAGTGAGATTTGCTTCATGACATATTACCATACATGTCTGCAGAGAGCCCATCACCGTAATAGCTGCAGATGTATTTCAGTTTCATGCCTTGTAGGCATGCAGAGAAGAGGCTTTGATTGTAAGGGGTTTTGGCTCTGGATCCATGTGATTTAAAAAAAAACAAAACAACACAAAAAAAAAAACCAACCCATCCCTTTAGCTTGTGACAGTGTGTTATGGCATAAGTATTCCTGCTTCCCCAAAACACATGATAGAAAAAATAGCAGTCTTGAGAAAGAAGTATGTAGGTCCCTGACTTGTTACCAATAAAATGTGTTCTTACCAAATACGTCAATATTTTCATATCAAAGGGTTTAACCACATGATGCAGAAGAAAGATGTATTAAATTACTCTCATAATTGCTTCTAATGTGTCAGTAAAGTATGGATAAAAGTGTATTGTTTGGCATAATTCAGATACCAAAGAAAAAAGGTCTGGATTATGCAAGATATTTCTAGGAAGCCAAATGGTTACAGAATAGGTGACAAAACATTGTGAGTTAATAACCAGCTATTGGAGAGAATGAGAAGAGTATGATTAAATAACCTATTTTAGGCTATAATGATTAACAAAAGGGTTCACAGGGTTTTGTGCTTTGACTTCTTTAGTTATATTGTATTTCTGAAATGGAAAATGGAGCACTGAGGTCATTTGCATGGTCTGCAGATAGATGCATCTCATAATAGTCAGAACTGAATAGGAAAGCTCTGGGGGATGGACGACAGAATGACGAGCTGTCCATGAGTAAGCAGAAAGTGTAATGCCCTTCGGAGGGGAAAAGATGAACTACTCTGGCATCTTGGAGTGCTGAATTACTTGTATCAACCCAAGGAAAGAGATCTGGTTGTAATTGGAACAGAATACTAAGTTGAAGTTGTTATTTACAGTTGCTAACTGCTAGTTTGATTAATCTTTTAAGAGGAGAGAATATGTCTGATCAGCCTAGATATGTATTGCACGTTGTAGTTTTGCAGAGGATTTGCAATATCTCTTCAGCTTCCTCCTCCTGCCTTTGCGCTTTTTGAATTACACTCAGACGAGGCTGAGAATGTGTCTTCTCACCTACAGGAATGCAGGGCATAGGGTATGTGGCAGCTTTTGGAATAAGCTTATATATAATGTGAAGAAAAAAAAATTTTTTTTTTTTACTTGCTCAGACTGAAGGATCAGAATTTACATAAAGACAGTAAGCCTAAGGATATTCTGGAGAGCAGCAGTGACAGTGAAGAGAAGATTCCAGCTGCTAAACCACTCAGTGCACCCAAACGGAAACTGGAACTTGAGGGAGAAACAGTAGAAAAGAAGAAAAAAGGAAGGCCTCGAAAAGATTCCAGACTTGTACCAGTAACTTTAACTGTTCAGGTGAAAAAAGATTCACTGTGACTTGCAATGTTCATTTAATAACGTTAGTCCCATGTTGATTTGTTCCATCAAGCCAGGAAAACAGGAGTAGTATCAGTCCCTCAAGTTTTTAGCCATCCTTCAACGTCGTGCCTTTAAATTTATTCTTTTTAAAATGTAAGACTGCAAAAAGCAGATGCACATCGTGTGGCAAATGTGTCCATCCTTTAGACAAATACCCAGCTGCTTATTAAACAGTACCAGCATGCGAAGCAGGGATAGCCTGCCAAGGGACTGTGCAGAAACGACATCGGGTTGTGGGGTTCTTTGATGGAGAGTGGCCCAAGCAGAAGACAGTGACTTGGTATGATGACTTAATGGTTATGAATTTCTGAAGAACTGTGAAGTAGTAAGTTGCATTAGAGTTTCCATCATTTTAAGGCATATAGATCCCTCTGTTTTCAGTATTCAGAGCTTAGCTTTTCCATGCAGTATACCAGAATTTCCATTAATTAGTTGCAGCCAAAAAGGGGGAGGAGAGTATATAAAATAAAAAACACATCTAGTTGTTCTTTTAATTCTTAGAAGCTATATTTAAAAATTTGTATTTATACAACTAATTGAACAAAGATTAATATTTGAAATAGACACCATTTTGTGGGAAAAAAGCTCTTTCAAATCAATCTATATTACAGAATATCTTTGGTTTAAACTTTTTTAATGGAAAAATTTAACTGCTTTTGGAATTTTTTTTTTCCAGTCCCCAGCTACACTGGCCTCTGAGAAGGATGCTGCTTGCATCTCTGCACCAGCATTAGCACTTAAACTGCCAACCCCAATCCCACAGAAATCATTTACATTGCAAGTAAGTGGACTAAGGGGAAAAAAGCTTAATACTTAATAAAAAATCCTGCTTTTTTTATGTTCTTAGATTATTAAGATCCTTTGATAAATTAGCATTTGAATGCATGTATTTGTTCAAGCAAGCAAAACAGTACACCAGCTTCTAAGAATATGTCTGTATGAGAAACGTTAATGGCAAACCAGCTAAACATAGGACACCTCTGAGCTAGCTAAACTTCAAAGAGGAATACCTCTGGTTCATCAGTCCCTCCTCCTGGTTAACCACGCTGCGTCGTAAAGAGAAGAGTCTCTGGCGGGAGTAACTGCTGCTGTGTTACTACAGTTGTGTTGGTAGTACGCTGCTGAAGAGGAAAAGCAAGTGTGTTCTGAGAGCTCTCTGGAGGTGCACTACATCCAAAGAGACTGGCAAATACTATTACCTTAGGTATTTATGAAATAATTTTTCTGTGTGTTCAGGCTGCGGTAGTCTGGTTCTAATTGCAAGATTGTAGGGAGACTGAGCACATCTAGACTTGATCTGGTGCCTTTAATTAGGAGCACAGACTACCACCACCTCTCTTTATTCTTATGCTCCAAATACAAAGCAATTATTTGTGTTCTAGCCAGGACTGGTTTTCAGAGGTCTGCTTCCTTTGAAGTACCACAGTATATTTTGAAGCCACCTTAAACAGAGAATGCCATATGTAAATCTGTTCCTAAAGATGGCGTTGGTTTGGGTCTAATAGAGTTGCAGCTTTTTTTGAGTCGTTCTTTTCCTCTTCCAAAAAGTATTTTACTTTCTGTATTTCAGGTAAGTTCAGATCCATCAATGTACCTTGAAGTGGAGAATGAAATGACCACAGTGGGAGGTTCAAAGTTGAGCAGGTTAAAGTGTAATCGAGAAGGAAAGGAATGGGAGACAGTCCTCACCAGTCGAATTCTCACTGCAGCAGGAAGCTGGTAAGAGCGTTGTATGTTGGAGGAAGGGTGTCTTGAAGGCCAGAAAACATTTAGGTGTACAAAAGTACAATTTACAGGAAGCTAATTATGCCTAAACCCATGTATTTACAAATAAATAGAGACTTTAAAAGTATTTTTACCTACTTAGATATTTTTATCTACTTACTTAGAGAAGTTGATGAACTGGTTCACTTCTATTAGGGATTTTTGTGATTCCTTGTGCTTGGCTCAAGATGTCCTATTTCTCTTCCAGCTAACCTGGTCTGATACATTGATGCTCTTAAACTCTTATCCTGTGGAGTTTTTTTTTTTTTTGGTAGGGATTCTGACTTACTTCTGTTGGCTACTGCTATTTGCTGGTTTTATCACCACCCATTGTAATTTTTACACATTCTTAGTAAATGTTTTGCGGATAAAAATATGTGCTGCTCTTAGTCTTAAGACCAGTTTCACTCCAAGTATTAGCTCTATGCTGTCTTAAAGCGTCACGAATTCTTATTAGCCAGTTGCAACTCTTTTCCTGTGTATTTACATTTCTCCTTTAAATTTCTTCATTAAGGATGACTAAATCATGGTAAATCATGATGACTGTTGTTCAAGTGCTAACTACTAAAGAATGAAAAATTTGAACAATGTTTTGTGACACAAAAGTATTTTCCTGAGACTTTTGCTGTTCTTTCCTCTTTTTTTTTTTTTTTCAACATTGCCTAGTTCCAACCTCAGAGTTTAAGTTGTTGAAAGCGTACTTCTGAAGCCTGAGCCCTGTCTAGGTCTGAAAAAGAAGCAGCAGATTTTAAAGCTAAATACAAGTACAGGCCTGAAGAAGAGCTTGTGTATACCCAAAAGCTTTACTCTTATTTCCAACTATGCCTCTTGGTCTAATAAAAGATACTATTTCTGCCTGTGAACCTTCTGTTGCCCACATCCTTAACCATCATAGTTATAATCAAATTAAGGAGACATGGAATGCACCTGTATACCTACACATAAAATCTCTCTAGTTTTTGACTTTTTCTTTTGGTATTCGGTGTATTTTTTAAAACTGTAATAGTTACCTTTTGGAAAATTAGCCCAAGTTGTATGATAAGAAATCAGTCTGGTTTTATGCTGCTCACGTTTGACAAAATGTGAATGTTTCTTCCTGATTTTTTTTTTTAGTGAGATTGTAAGTGTAGCCTGCGAGAAACGAACATTGTCGGTATTTTCAGCTTGTGGTCGTCGCCTTCTTCCTCCTATAATATTGAATACACCCATTTCCACCCTACATTGCACAGGTTCTTACATCATGGCTCTCACCACTGCTGCTACGCTCTCTGTTTGGTAAGTACCACGTCCGGCTGCCGCAGCTGGTGGGCTGGTTTTTTTAGGTGACTTTGATTGTGTCGATGCATTGCTGGTGAAACTGAGGCTTAAACGACATCAGGTCTGAACTTTTGGAGAGAATATGAAGAGTTAACTGGGCAGGACCTGAATCTTGTTTATTCTCTGTTCTAGGACAGCCCATAATACTGAATTTGATTCTAGAGGAAGATAAAGGATCAGCTAGAAGTTACTGGTTTAAACAGCCTCCCTAGGATAGATGTGTCATACCTATGGAATGGATTGGGGAGGGAGGAAAGGAAAGGAAGGAGAAATACGGATCCTTCCAACTTCTGTCAGACTTGGCTAATAAAGTACATGAGTTTCAGAGTTAGAAGTACTCTAGCCATCTTCAAGATACCACAATACAAACTGCAGTAACTTGTTTACAGTTCTTGAATTTACTCTCCTGCAAGTCAGAGCTCCTAAAGGAGTTATTTGGATCCTCAGTGTTCGCTTGGTTGTAATGAGGTTTCCTGATAAAGAGCCATGAAAGTTGTTCTCTGCTACTGATTTCTGTCTTGCTGGAAGGGGTTTGAGTTTACCAGAATAATTTTGTTGAAGCAATGAAGAAAATGTCAAAACAACAAAAGAATTCCAACCCTAAACTCCAAGAAAACCCCTACACTTTGTCATGAATATCAAAGAAGTGCTGTTGTCAAATGATTGTGGATCTTTCAGTTGTTTGTAAACTGCAGACCTCTCCATTTGTCTTTTTCAGGGATGTTCACAAGCAGACAGCCATTGTTAGAGATGAGTCTCTGCAAACAATATTTTCAGGTAATAGAAATGGTCATCGAGTTACCAACCTTTGAGCCCACCCCTACTATTCAGTGCTGCTTAAGAATATGCTGAAATTTTAAGAAACCTGAAAAGCCTAAACAAGCAATTTTCCTTTGTTATTGTGTAATACAGGGAGGTCATTGCCCATGTTGAAATACTGTAGAAATAACTGAGATGGGCATATAAGGGGGTGAGAGACTTGTACAAGATTCTGTAGCTGCTTTTATTCTGGTGTGCTTCTGAATGTGAAAGTTCAGTGTTGTGAAGATCACAAAATAAATATTTGATGAAATCTGCTATTACAGCAATTTCTTTGTGTATGTATTATTTTAATGATGTGATCTGTTATCTCAAAATCTTCAGTTTCTGTCATTGCAAATATCTGGCAGAAAATAAGTTATCAAAGGAGCAGAGCACACTGGCTTCAATTTTAGCTTTAATCCACACAGTACTAGTCAAAGCTACCTAGAGGAAGGAGTTGTGTAGTAGTTTGCAAAAGTCTTCATTAGAAATTATATACGTCAACCCTGGGCCTGGAATATACTCGTAAATGACAGGCTCCAGCTATCCCACTTATTCCATGTTCTTAGCACACTTTTGTAAGTATGCTGGGTTTTAGAATTTTAACGTAATGGGAAAAAGAAAGATGAAGGCTTCTTGGGTTAATATTCATGGCAGAATTGTGAAGGATGGCTCCTAAATACGGAGAACGTTTCCAATTAAGCCCATGTTCTGTATAAATCGTAGCACCAAGATTGATAATTTATTTTGCAAGAGAGCGATATTAATGCTGCTGCGCTGAGCCTGGTGCTTGCCATCATTATCTTGTGTCTTGACCTTCCTGTCAGTGCTTGAGAATAGCACTGACTGAACCTTTTTCTCTTGGTTGCTATGACCGTTAATTAAGGTTGGATAGCATATTTTACCATTGTGAATGCCATGCAAGACTCCAAAAGAAATCCTTTCATCTGATTTGACTTACAGGGAGTGGTGCAACTGTCTCTCAGATCTTGCTGACTCAGCACGGTATACCTGTCATGAGCATGTCCGACGGAAAGGCATACTGTTTTAATCCTTCTCTTTCAACTTGGTAAGTTATAAATTATTTCCTGCTTTTGTGACTTAGCGGAACTGTCCTGCATTCTGATTTACTGTTTCATGTTTTGAAGATTAGTCTGGGTGGGATCATGTCAGGCCTAGTTTTGCTTTGGTTCACTGTTGTGTGTCTAAGCTTTAGTTTATGATATTCCCACAATTTTTAATGTTTAAAATAATTTTTTTTTTAAATGAGAAAGTTAAACTACAGCTTAATCCCTCTTTCTGACACAGTGCATACTCCTAGTTATTAACGTACACATATGTGTACTTTTGCTGATGTTCATCAGTTGAATCTGTCAAGCAGATGGCAGTGAATAAAGATAATCTAGCCTTACAGTTCATTTTTTGGGGGTACAAGAATGCAGTTCTGGAAAATGTGTCAAAACAGTTTTCAGTTTTGTTGGGAGTTTAGACATGTTAAAATCATTTTGCTCAGTTTCCTGAGAAAATTAGACCTACACACTCCAGTCCTGACCGTGTATGTGCCTGGCTTTGTCAGTCCCCATCATTCCCTAATACTTTTTGGGGTCTGACAGCCAGTCAAGTTTGGAGAGAGCTTTTTGTCTCCGAGATGTAAAAGTTTATTGAAGATAGTAAGTCAGGTAGGGGCGGAGGGGAAAAAAATCGTTATACCTCAAAGTTCCCATGGAATAGTCATTACTGATGTCCTAAACACAAGGAAAAGCTACCAAAGAGTTCTGAGCCTTAGTGGGTATCATGGGCTTTCCCCATGGATTCTCTTACTTCTTTGAAGGCATAAGTTCCATTAAAATGTTTCCATGGTTAAATTATTTACAGTGTCCTTCCAAAACAGATTCTTTGTTGTCTTTCTAAGAGGAAAAAACATGCTGTGGTCTTAATATAATTGTGGTACTTAATGTAATGAGCATGCTTGATGAAATGACTCATTGTTTGAACTCCTCTTTAGAATAATTGTTATTAGAAAAAAACACCGTATTTGTTCTTTAGATAAACTAAGAAATTATGCAAAAATTTTTCCAGTCAATAAGGAGCAGAGGACAGGCTCTCAGCCATAATGCTGAATTTGCTCTCACTTCTTGGTTTGGAAATACATAAAAGAGCAATCTCTTTAGTCATTATACAGATTTAAACATGATAAAGCAGTAAAGGGTATTCTAAATATTTGTGCCATTTTACCTCCGAGCTGTCTGGAGGTCTAAACTTAGCATTGGATTGAGCCACTGATTCCCTTGGCATCTCAACCCAGTGGAAATGATACCCATGATTAGGTGGGGAAACGCCAGCTGTAACTGTCAGCTCCCTCCATATGGCGAGCTGTAATGTATGGGAAAACCTGTCAGCGCATGTGACCTGTGATGCCTTGTCTGGTGGGTGGGGGGACCTGACATGAAGTAAAACCAAGTTCTTAAGTAATTAGCTGTGTTTGCTCCAATCTGTGTTCTGGGGCGTGACTTATTAGATGTAAAATGGCGAGGAGAAAATTCATTTTCTTCAGAACTAACGCTAAATTGTGTTATACAATTGATGTTGCCAACTTTGGTGGTGGGAGGGACATTTTCTTGACAGCACAAGCAGAATTTGGACATGGAGTGGGAACAGTTGGGGTCTGTGGAATTCCTGAGTACCTTGGTGATATTTTTTTTGGTTATCTGTGAATGTACAAGTTGGGCTTTGAGGCAGAACAGAGCTGGATCTGATATTACGGCCTACTCTCCTCAAGCTTGGTTTTTGTTTGTTTGCTTTTTTCAGGAATCTTGTTTCTGACAAACAGGACTCTCTAGCACAATGTGCAGACTTCAGGAATAGTTTACCATCCCAAGAAGCCATGCTGTGTTCTGGGCCCTTAGCTGTAATACAGGGACGAACATCAAAGTACGCACTTAATTGCTTCGTTTGATCGGCGTGTTTGTCTTTGGGGTTTTTTTTTTCCTATTATTTATTCATGTGCTTGAATCAGTGGGTTAATTCTTAAGGTGCTAATGGCTCTGAAGTTATCAGGAGCTCATGCAGGGTGTTTTTTAATCTTTGCACATTTATACTCTGTATCTTGGTGTAATCCTGAGAGTATTTGGGGGCAGGAAAGCATGCTCCGAACTTAATCATTTTAAGGCTCCTCTTTATTGGATGGGTAAAGTATTTGTCGATTCTGTACGTGTAAAATTTTGATTAGCTAAACTGAAATTCTTACGTTTTAAGTTTCAATTTTTAGTTTACCAGCTTTTTGGAGTAGGTCTACAAATTCTGAGTACTTCAGTTGTCCTCAAGGGATCTATTTAATGAAGCCTTTGAGAAAGCTGAGTGATTAGTCACCTAATGCATATTTTTAACATCTGAAAATATCACCAGGGAATTGTGTGAGCCAGAGCAGACTCCTGTAGGTAATTTAACAGCCCATCCTCACCTGGATTTGAATAAGATTTCCCAGGCAGACTTGTCTGCTACTTCTGAGTTGTATGGTTTTATTGCTATTCTCTTGGAGGGGGAGAAGAATTAAATTAAATACATGAAATACACACAAACACTGGTTTTGAGAGAAAGAAAATATCAGACTGAAAAAATAGTATTTCTTTTCAAAATGGAAATTATTGGTTACTTTTTCCAAATTAGCTGCCTTATGACAATACATTTATTTGCAAGAAATCCTTTAAATGCTTTAGGCTAACTTTGTCTTGTGTCTGTTTCGTGACTTCCACCTGTGAGGGGCAAAGAAAGGTCAAGATAGTCATCTTAATTTCCTATAAACATTTAGGAGCACTTGGTCACTGATAAGCATGTGTTTTTAAAGAGATGACTGATGAAGGGAAAAGAACAGGAGGCTGAAAACCCTCTGTGGACCATGATACTTGTAAATGGTCTGGTTGGGGGGGGAAGGCAGTTTGCTATGAAGTGCTGCCTGTGGCACGGAAAGCTTGAAGCGTAGAATACCTTGTACTACAGAAATATATATTCCTTAAACTAGTATCTTGATTTATGGCTGGCATGTTAATTTTTTTGGTTTTGTAGTTCAGGAAGGCAAGCTGCAAGATTGTTCTCCATGCCTCATTTAGTGCAACAAGAAACAACGCTTGCATACCTGGAGAACCAGATAGCAGCAGCACTTATGTTACAGTCCAGTCACGAATATCGCCACTGGCTCCTTATCTATGCACGGTACCTAGTTAATGAAGGTGAGACCTGCCATGCTCTGTTACTTCTTTGCTTGCAGCTCTGATGGTCTTGGAAGAAAACACTGTACTCACGTCATGTACGTGTATGATTGCACTTAACATTCTCCTAGGCTTTTGGACTCAGTGTTTACTTAAAACCAAAACGAACTACTGAAGTGCATGTGCTTGCTGCAGCGCTCAGTACTTGGGAATCCTATTCTGACGTGCAGATTGTGAACGGGTCGTGGTCTGGGGAAACAGTGCCACTTGCGCGCTCCAGTAACAGGAACTGCGTTGTGAGCAAGCCCAGTGGTCTGTCAGGCATGTCGTACCTGTTGGCTGGCAGCAGCAAGGATTTTTGAGAGGAACAGGCAGCACCTTGTGTAAAACACGTAACATTCCTCAGCCAACTGATGTGAGATGGCAGAGTTGCTCGGTCTCTGACACTTTGTACCAGAGCACATAAACCTGCAGAGAATTTGCTTGTGTTATTTGTGCCTTATACTACTCTTACACTTCTAAAATTTTAACAGCCTATACGGGTGAGCTCCGTAGGCTAAATTCTGTGAGGAACAAAACCTCAAGTTGCTCGTGTCTATTTTATATTGGAATACGTGTCTCTCTTTAACAAGGTTAGCCAACTGCCTTTATGCTTCTTGGATTCTAAAGGTCTGTTTTATCTGCTTGTCTGCATTCCAAATTTAGTAGTTCCCATTGTGTTAATTCAGCTTTCTTTCTCACCATGCATAATCATTTTACACAGAGGGAAGCAAAATGGTTCATGTTAGGCCACCTAATAGGTGTTGGCAGTATTAAAATTGAGCTTGTTAATTCTTGCCTTTCGAGCCTTGCTTTATTTAACAAGAGCGCTTGGTGAACTGTGTACAGTTCTCTGTCCTTCCCAGCTGAATTTAAAATGTTCATCTTGGGTCACACGTTTCAAAGACCGTTAGGCTTTAGAAAGTCTTCATTAATTGAGAAGGTCTCTGTTGCGTGTGCAGGGATCGTCTTGCGCTGCACAGAAGTCGCTGCCTTGCACGTCCGTAGGCGCTGGATGTCGCCGCGCATTCGGCTTTGCCGTACATGTAGTAGCGTTTCGCTAGCTTTCCAGGTTATTGCACATCCTATTATCAACCCTTTATTCCTATGCTGGTTTCAGCATTTAGTGAATTCTGATCCATTAGAATACTCAATCTGTTATACCTTGTTTGGCAAGTCACTCTTTGACGGATGACTTGTTACTTGCAAGGGAATTCCCCACTCTGATTTTGGGGTGAATAAAGCTGGCCTGGAAACTGTGCTGTTTTATTAAAAATTTTCTTTTATTTTAACTCTTGTGCATATTAATTTGATCAATTTTAATTTTGTTATAGCCTCTTTAGCTGAGGGTTTGGGTTCTATTTTAATCTTTCAGAGAGTTGTCTGATTTTTTTTTTTTTTTTTTTTTTACTGCTGACTCCCATTTTTCCAAATTTATATGTTGTCATTATATGCAACCCAACAACTTTTCCCCTTTGCTGGTTTTCATCTTGTGGTTTTCCAACTCTCCTGATACCTCTTTTCTATGAGTTCTCTGGAAAACTGATGGACTTCAACAACCAATATTCTGTGTGGTGGTTTTTTGGATGTTTGTGGTTTGGGGTTTTTTTAATTATTATTTTTTTTTAAAGCTGCTATCTTTATGTCGGAGGGGGGAATGAGAGTTGAGATCAAGGCAGCTCTTCAAACTGCAGTAACTACTTCAGTTTTTCTCTTTATTGTAGATCATCTTTAGTGGTGTTTTTTTTGGTTTTGAGAACCTCAAGTAAAACTCTTTGGAACTCTAAAATAAATCCTTTACAAATCATCTTATCGTTCCAAGATTTACTGTTAGAAAAACAATACACCTTTTCAGAATTGGTTTCGGCTTTATTTTATTCTAGTCATAGCTCTTTTCCTGAATGTTGCCAGTTACATTGTGGAGTGGTTATATATAGTGAAATGCTTGTGAGTGTAACTTCATTTTCTGATAATATTCAGGGTTTGAATATCGTTTGCGAGAATTATGCAAGGATTTACTGGGTCCAGTCCATTACTCAGCTGGAAGTCAGTGGGAATCAACAGTTATGGTAAGTCCTGATCGTGTTTTACCAAAGAAAAAGGAAGAATTGCAGAACAGGGATAGACAAGAGAACTAAAAACCTAATCTCATAAGTAGGCTTCCTCCCGTGGCACTTGTATTTATTTCATGTGAAACAGCAGGCAAGTGCTGTTTGCCACAGTCTCGGCTCTGGTGCTGTCTTGAGTGTGACGCAGACGGAGCAGAGTTCAGGTCTCCGCATTCTTCAGACAGCAGCTTTGAAACAGTGACGTGCTGGGGAAATGTCTGCGCTTCTCGGAGCACATCTGGAGTCTGTAACTGCCGGAGCTGCACCAGCTTCATGAGTATAGAAATGGGAAAACAGTTCTGATTCTGGGAGTCACGTAAGCAGATTAAGAACATAAAAACACACAGCGCTCTCCAGGCAGAGAAAAAGGGCTTGAATCTTAACCACCTCTATGGAATATATTCATGATGTCAAGTCATACATTCTGAGAATGCTTTTGGGTTTTTTTGCAGGGTTTACGAAAGAGAGAACTATTGAAAGAGCTTCTTCCTGTTATTGGACAGAACCTCCGCTTCCAGAGGCTTTTCACAGAATATCAAGAGCAGCTAGACATCTTGAGAGACAAGTAGCATTTCCCAAGATTTTCCCTGCAGGGCCTGGTCTGAGAGAAACGCTGAACGGCATAAACCAGAGACAGAAGAGGCGCAGGAGCCCGGTCAGTCGGGACACTCCTGAAGAGAGCAGTGCCGTAAGGGTCCCAGATGTTTCAGGAGGGACCTGCTTTAGTTTTAAAGAAGATCACAAGTGGATTCATGGAAACGATGAGTGGATGAGCTAGACCGTTTCCCAAGTGAAACTTAACCATCGAAGCTGTGGCCTCTGTTTCTATGGAAAGTCGTGGATATTTACTTCATTCAGGGGGATCCTTTTGGATCTGGATCTCATTATAATATCAAAACTAGCTGAGAACTGTTTGTGGGGTTTCTTGGATGTCCTGTGAAAAGCACAGTACTTCAGAGTACACTGAACAGCATATTTAACCCTGTTTAGGGGTTTTTGCCTGAGGATTTATTGAGGCTCAACACTATATTAAATTAGATGAATGAGCCACGTAAAAAGAAATTTCATAAATATTAAGGTATTATGCAGCCAATAGACTCTTTCCTGTGAATATAATAATAATAATAATAAGAGGCTGTTCTAACACATGGACTATTTTTGTACTAGAATTTGCTAACTTGTAATATGGAATTTTATTTGGCCGATAATCAGGCTGTCTCTACAAAGTCATCTTGTAGGAAATTTAACTCTAATTACAAAAGCTATGTTTCAAAATAATTCTACCAAATTAACATGTCATCATCTGGTTTTTAATTTTTAAATGTTTGTAAAAGGCATTTTGGGGGGAGGGGGAGGGATACAATGGGGTGGCTCTTTTTGTAAGTACAAAAATAAATGAACATTGCATTGGTTTAAAAAAACAAAAAGCAAAAATATGGTCTTGAATTATTACTAAGGGCACGGGCATCTCCAGAAATGTCAGCACAGGGTGAATCATGTTAACGTGTCTCGAAATAACTAACGCTGTCTGGGTGATCTCTCCGAAAGTGTGATCAGACAGGTACTTGTGATCTCCCTGGAGCAGCTACGTTTTCTCTCGGAGCCACATCTCAGGTGAGGGAGCAGGAGCCGTGTGGCAATGCTCATTATCTCGGGCAACACAAAGAAAACGGGCTCCCCTGACCACGCGCTGCAGCGAGGGAAGAGCTTCGTGCAGTTGTGGCCGTGCGTGGCGTTTTGTAACGAAATAGCGCTGCTGCCCTGCCAGCAGTTCGTTTATGGAGTGGTTTTGGGATTGCACTGAAACCAAATCAGTCAACCTGTTTTCTTCCCCGATGTGTGCTTGGTGCTGGGAAAGAAGTAAGTGTATGTGTTGGTTCTTTCTGGGACCTAACTATTCAGGCGTGTCCGTTTGCTGCCTTAGTTTGAGATGTTTCTGAGTATGAAAATTAGTATTGAAAGGAGCAAGTGTATTTCACTGTTAAACCCTTGTACAAGGGCAGTTTGTCCCCTAAACTTCCTGCAGAAATATCCTTTGCCGGCTAGCCAGGATAAGGACTAACCTTTGGGTGAAGGGAACTGACCCTCTGCAGAGAGGTGGCTCTGCAGTCACGGGGTTGTCTGGATCCTAGAGGAAGGGGATGTGTCCTTCAAGGCAACAGAACTCCGCAGCTGGAGGGTTTTGTTGCCTCCGTATTCAGCTGCCAGACCCGATGGACACAGGATTACATTTCTGTGTGGCAATCTCGCGTGCACATGGACTGAAGTGTCCTTGGGCAATAGAAACAACTGATTTGGCAGCTGTTCAGCACAGCATCCGTGAGTTTTCAGCCGGTGGTGGGAAGCGTAGGGATGCTGCGTGTAGCTGGTGAGGAAAGTGAAGGTGGTAGGAAGAACCATCCAACTTCCCCTAACCTCTAGTCCAGAAAGTTTAATAGTGCTGTGAATGATTCACATGCTACTGCCCGTTAGTCTGTGAGGAACCGGCATTCTGTTTCCATGGAGACAGAGTCATAGGCTGGCTGGGTTGGCAGGGACACCAACGGGGTCGTCTAGTCCAACTCCCCTGCACTGAGCAGGGACCTCTGCAACTGGAGCAGGCTGTGCTCCCCTTGTGCCCGTGTCTGCAGGTAAGCGACCCACCAAAATGGTGCAGACAGGAGAGAGGCACCGTGTTGTGGGGAAAGGTGGGCCTGCTCTGAAGCCTGGTGCAGTCCATGGGAGTCTGGCTATCGGCTTCCATGGATTTTGATTCTCAACTCCTTGTGTAGGCGGCTGCCGGGATGGTTTAACGTAGAATGGGTTGTTTTGGAGGTGTTTGATAGGTGAGAGCTCAGACACGGGTGGCTGTTTCCTCCAGTGAAAGGCAAGATGTTTGGCCCCTGGCCGTCCTCTGGCCTTGTGCTGTTCCTACCGGTGTTGCAATGAATGCTGCTTAACGGGACTTCATGTGTAGTTTTAGAGGTAATTAGCTGAGGGAAAGTGAGTTCTTTGTCATTAAATCTTTGAAGAGATGCTGAAAGACCTTTTATGAGGAGCTGTCTCTGTTACCAGACATTCTGTAGGTTTTTCTACCCATTTTTACTTGGGAGGTTGTGTCACTGCCTGACAGACCAGGAACACTATCATTTTAAATTCCATGCAACAAAATGTATTTAAATGAAGGTTTTTGGTAAAGAGGTTGTTTTAGCATTTTCTCCGCTTACATTTAGCCCTCTCTTTTTTTCAGACGAGGGCTGCGAGCTCCGAGACTGAACCGCGGTACCAAGGGCAGAGGAGGAACGCCCGGAGCGCGGGAGCGGGCACGACCCAGAGGCGACCGTTAATTAATGGCGCGGACGGGGAATTGAGGAAGGTCACGAGGGGACCCGGCGTTCTCCCTGCGTGAGCTGGGCACAACGGACCCGCCAAACCT